AGGGGTGGCTGGGGAGGGGGTGGGGGTCATGGGGTGTCGGGCGAAGCAGCAGGGGGGTGTCTGACCAGGGGCCAGAGGTAGATACTGGCCAGGGGGCAGAGGGTGTCTGGCCATGGGGGGTGAGTGAGGGCATTGGAGTCCGGACTTGGGGGGGTGGGGAGGAACTTATTTGTTTTTGTGCAGCGTGGCATGCACCATGTAACATGGCCTTCTGCTGCTCCCATTCCCCGGAAGCGTCCGGGAAGGATTCACAGGGAAAGCCTCCAGGGAAGTGTTTCCCAAGGGACGAAAAAAGCCAGAGAGTACAGAGACATTTTGGCTGCTTGTTTCCCACATGCCAAGAGAAAGAAAAGAGCACCACATCGACTTTTTTTGTTCCACTTGTTCCCTGCATGCCAGATTGGAGAAGTCTCAGGGCTCTCCCCTCCTCTCCCCAGGAAGCCAGCACTGGCATTCCAATTTTTTGGAGGGTCATAAGGCTGTAGTGCCAGTCTTGGCTCTCTGCTACAAGGAAAGCAGGGGAAGGGGGGGAGGAGCTGAGTTGGGGCTCCAGAAGTTATATCTGGCTCCCTCATGAGCCATATTTGGCTCACTAGCCATAGGGTGCCGACCCCTGATCTACAACATTCCTGACAGGTGTTTATTTAACCTTCTTCTGAAAATTTCTCATGATGGAGATTTCACAAGCTCCCTAGGCAATTTATGCCAGCGCTTAACCATTCTGACAGGAAATGCTTCCTAACGTCCAATCTACACTTCCCTTGCAATTTAAGCCCATTTCTTCTCCTCCTATCCTCAGAGGTTAACAATTTTTCTCCCACCTCCTTGTAACAACCTTTTATGTACTTAAAAACTGCTATGTCCATTCTCTGTCTTCTCTACTTCAAACTAGGGATGTTACAGGGCGTTTAATTAGCTAATCGACTAGTCGATGGAATTTCCGTTGATTAGTTGGCAAGGGGGGGAAACTGCAGAGCTGCAGTGGGGTTAGCTCCCAACCCTGGGAGCTAACTCTGCTGCAGCTCTGCCTTTTAAAAGTAGTAAGAGTCGCCAAGCTCTTAATACATTTTAAAAGGCTGAAGCACAGCAGGGGGACTAGGCGTGAGCCAGGAATCAGCTATCCCAGCTCACGCCCAGTCCCCCCTATTGCGCTTGTGCTTTTTAAATGTATTAGCTGATTCCCGGCTCATGCCCGGTCCCCCGCTATGCCTCTGCTTCCCCTGCCCCCCCTACAGAGATGGTGCTGGAGGGGGAATCAGCTTTTAAACCGGCTTGCCCCAGCACCAACTCCTGCTCCCCCCTTGCTGCCTCTCTCTGATACAGGCAGCAAGGGGGGAGAGTGACTAGTCAAGTCACTAGTTCACTATCCGATAAGCATATGCTTATTGGATAGTCAACTAGTCGCTCAAATCCCTACTTTAAATTGAACAAACCTATTTTTTTTTTCAATTTTCCCTCATAGGTTATGTTTTCTAGACCTTTTGATCATTTTTGTTGCTCTTTTTTGGACTTTTAAATATTTGTCCAAATCTTTCCTGAAATGTGCTGCCGAGAACTTGACACAACACTTCTCATGTTTTGTTTACAACACTCCTGTTGACATATCCTAGAATGGTTTGCTGCTTTTTTTTTTTTTTCCTGCGGAAGTACTACACTGTTGACTCATATTTAGCTTATAACCCCCAGATCCTTTTCCTCAGTTTCGTAGGCAGTCATTTATAATTTTGTATATGAGCCACTGATCTATTCCTTCTTCTGTTTGTCCGCATTGAATTTAATCCTATTTATGTCACTCTATTTCTCCAGTTCATCCAAATCATTCTGAAATGTAATCCTATCCTTCACAACCTATCCCAGCTTGGAATCATCCACAAACTTCATAAATATATTTTCTATGCCATTCTCTAAATCATTGATGAAATTATTCAACAGAATGGGACCCAGAATGCATCCCTGCAGGACCCCATTTAATATGCCCTTCCAGCTTGATTGTGAACCGCTGAAAACTACGCTGGGAACACTTTTTCATCCAGTTATGCACCCACCTTATAGTACAAGGGTGAGCAATAATTTTTTGCTGGGGGCCACTTCAGAAATTTTTGAAGTGGCCCCGGGCCTCACCAGAAGGGGCGGGGCCTCAAGAGGAAGGGGCAGGGCCAGAATACTTCCTTGCTTCTTCACCCAAAGACCATAATTGGTCTGGGGGTGGAGGAGCGCATGAAGTGCCCCCCTCCCCCCTGAGGTTCCCCCTTGCTGCCCATGCCCCGGGTGATGAGAGGAGACTTCAGATGCTCCTCCTCCTACCTCCAGGCCAATCAGGGCTTGGGGATGGAGGAACGTATGAAGTCTCCTCCTGCCCTGCCACGTGCTTCTTGCAGGGTGGAGAAAACTTCGCATATTCCCACTCCCAAGCCAATCAGGGCTTGGGGGCAGGGGAGCACGCAAAGTCTCCTCCTGCCCTGCCAGGAGCGCGCAGAGCTTCTAAGGGCTGTGTGCGCCTTGCAGGGCGGAGGCAGGGCAGAGGAAACTTCGCATGTTCTCCCCATACCCAGGCCAATCAGGTTTTGGGGGCAGGGGAGTGTACGAAGTCTCCTCCCACCCTGCCAGGAGCATGTGGTGCTTTTAAGTGCCGCATGCTCTTGGCAGGGCAAAGGAAACTTCATGTGCTTTTCCCCCAACCCCAGGCTCTAACTGGCATGAGGATGGGGGAGAGGCAGGGCCTCCGTGAGCTGGATTAACTCACTTGATATGGCCAGTGGAGGCCCTTTTGCCCATACCTGCTATAGTGGCTCCAGAGAGGCTGCATTTTCCTAATTTGTTTATGAGAATGGTATGCAAGACAATATCTAATGCCCTAATAAAGTCAAGATATACCACATCTATTTCTTACCACTATCCTCAATGCTTGTTATACTGTCAAAGAAAGCTATTAGGTTGGTTTGACATGATTTGTTCTTGACAAATCCATGCTAACTGGAATTTCTCACCTTATTATCTTCTAGGTGTTAAACTGATTGCTTAGTTATTTGCTCCATTATGCCTTTAAAAAACGAAAAAGGTGAAGATGCTGGTGTGCTGAGACCATTGCTCACCATTCAGCTGACCTCTAACTTCTCACTGTTCCTTTGTACTCCCCATCTATTGTCCCTTGTCTTACACTAAGATTGCAAACTCTTTGCGACTCTTACCTTCCTTTTGTTTTGTAGCTGTATAGTGCCTAGAACAATGGTACCTTGTTGTCTATATCACTCCTATGTGCTATGGTAATACAAGTTAATAATAATCCAATATATATAGTACAGTATGTGTGAACATATTTACACACAGGAATATATCAGAGATGTGCACACGTCAAAGGAATGTCATACCAACCTCTCTTTCAAAACTACAGTACATTAAATACTAATTTTTCGTTTCAGGCAAGGACAGACATGGAGCACACTAGTAATGTCTGCACAGTGCTTTAGGATCCCCAAAAGGTAAGGTACAATTCGAAGACTAAGAATGATTATTACTATATTGTCAGGCTATACCTCTTATTTGCCTAACAGCAACATCAATGACTGTATAAGATTGCAGACCTGTTTCTCAGCATTAGTCCTGGCTGATTCCTCTTGTGCTAGCACCATTTCCCGCTCTGCAGTTATCTGCACACTTTCTCTCAGCGCCTCTTCCAATTCTTCAATCCGATCATCCTTTTTACGCAGGTTATCCTGGAAAATGATGGGAGACCAGGTGAAGTAGACTAATTTGGAAATAAGAATCAGAGCCCATTAACAACTAAGTGCTATCAAAATATCTTCGCAAAAAAAGGAAGGAAAGATGAAGTGAAGAAAGAGGCAGTGCATAATACAGCGAAGGAAAAATGTAGCAAAGCAAGACAGATGTGCTTGCCCTGAGCAACTGTGATACCACAGTCCTTTCAGATAAGATAGTTCAGGTAGGAAAGGGTTATTTGTAAGGAAAAAGTTAGTGTGCAGTTCCAAAGAAGCTTAAAAGCAAGCAGAGGTGGAACAGTAGCAGACCTTTGGATTTCCTCATGCACTTGCACAGGCAGGTGAAGAAGAAGGGAAACACAGCATTGTAGTTTTGCAATTCACTATGTCCAGGTGGGAAAAAATATTTTATTGTCTGAAGCAAATGTTAGCCTATTAAGAAAACAGGACAGATGTCTGTACAGTTTCAGCCAAGCGTAGTTTCAGTTTTTCCTCAAATGCTCTTGCATGAAAAATCCACTTGAAGTTCTGGTGGGAAGTCAAGTTTGGATTTCAAGCATCTGAAACGTAATATCCTCATATACTCATTTTTTATTAAGAATCTCTTCATAGTTGCAAGTTTAAGTGTCCTGCCTATATTCAAAGGCCACTGAAGTACACTGCAGGGGTCAGGAGTAAATATATATATATAAAAAAATACTTGTTTACACCCACAATGTAATTTGGAAGAAGTAGTGCCAAGGGAACTGAATGCCAGTTTTACCAAGAGAATATGAGATATTTCTGACAGTAAAGGTACATCCCTGTCTCTACAGTGATGACTTGGCCACAAGACTGAAAAACAAGCTATTTTAGGCTGGTGAGAATACTTTGATTTCTTGAAGCATGCCAACCATTGATTTAAAAATCAAGTAAAATGAGCGAACTGGAGAGACATTCTATGCATCTCTAGTGTTGTAGGCTACATTAGCTCACACTGTAATCACCCACCTTGGAACACTAAAGTAACAAGGACTTAGACTACTTCTCTACAGTTGTAGGCCTCTCTCATCCATATGAACACCTTTGCTCCTTACATCACACATGCTGTCTGATAAGCAGCTGAAATGAGGGAAGAAGAAGTAGCAAATCTATGCCTGTGTTTTCTGTCCTTTCAGTTCTTGGTGTTGAAATGCTCCCTTTGTTTCTCTGGAAGTATTTTACAGAACACAGAGTATAAGGAATAACAGTTGATTTTGAAGAGATTTGGAAAGAGATCTGGTTCTGAATCTGCCATCCTGGTAGTGTTACTACAGTTTAAAGAAGAATCTTATTTCTAGATGCCTATCTCCATGGGATGGACATGTCCCCCACTAGACTTGAACAGTGCAGAGTGATGCTGGTTCTCAAGCTTGGCACTTCTAATCTGTTACAGTACTGCTGTATATCTACCTGCCAAGAGAGCTGTGCAGATCTCTGTTACCACTATCAGGTGGAGATAGTCTAATAAGACTTGTGTCTAGTCCGGAGGGCAGGATATAACACGTAACTAACTTTCAAAAAGGTATTCAAGATACTTTTCTATAGTGCTTGCTGTTCAAAGAAGAATGTAAATGAAATGGATTTACAGGGCGACAATGACCTGTTCAGTTACAATAAGGGAGCTTTCCACAAAACTAATGAACAGGTTTTCATATTAAAAACGTATGTTGCACGAGTAAGATTTCAACCCTTGTTGAGTGAGTCCTTCTGATGCAGATAAAATCTTTCAATGTTTTCAAAACTACTTAGGGCTCAATTCCGTCAACTTCTCAAAAAAGAATGAAGTAGTGAGTCCCAAAAATCTCATTATAGAGTGTTAACTGTGCCAGCCTTGAAAAATGTTTATTAGCTTGTCTACATTAGGCAGTGGTGTTGACTACATTCTTTGGAATCTTCTCCTTAGATCGGATGTAGAGTTTGGGATTGTCCATTCCATTTTGCTTCATAAGATCTAGTAAGGCCCATCTATACAGCTGTGAACAACTGGAAAATGATTTATAAAAAGGAAGTTGGAAATCAAAGTTAAGTCTATAAATACACACTGTCCTGTGCCCAGACAAATATCTAAGAACTCAAGGTACCCAGCCTAGCAAATTGCACCATTCTGGAAAGTGAATACTGAAGGACAGAAGTAGGTCCTATTGTTGTTGCCAGAACAGGCTGAAACAGTGCTCTAGTATTAACATGTAAAAATCATTGCTGTTGTGTCTATTTGGAAACTGTTACTTGAAATAAATGTGCAAAGGATATTTTGCATATTAATGTTATCAGCAAAATCTTTACAGTATTTGTTTAATTACTTGCCCTAAAATGTCATGCAGCCATACAGGCATCCTCTGAAAACATTTATGCAGATGCTAGAGTTCCAGGCATTACTGGAAAGCGCACAGCGTGCACTCATGCAAACAACTCTCAATAAGTCACTCTCTTCTCCCTTAGCATATTAGCCACCTACAGTCTAATCAGTAAGTAGAGTTTAGTTATAAATTTGTTTTTCCAGACTCAGACAAATCAGCTGAGAAAAATCATGGGAATTTCTCTAACCCATATCCACTCCATTGTGAGCCTTCCCACCTGTCCCCATAAAACAATATAAATGTCAGAAATGAGTAGCAGAGCCTAACAAACACATACAGCACTGATATTCCAAAGCATGGTGTCGGTCAGTCAGGCAGAATCATCTCGATGGGTTCCTGACAGGTCCTTTACTCCGTCAGAGAACTGTTATTTTGTAAATTAATAGTTTCTTTTTGAATGATGCTGTGAGGAGCACATGATAAACTTTTGGCTGCGTGCATGTGTGTGCTCCGCTAACGCAATTACTTAATACAAAAAACTCCCAGAGACCACAAATCAAATAAGAATTGAAAGCACCCAAGAAGGTTTATTGCCAAGCAACATACAGTAATAGCTGTCATCAAATAGACTTGCTGCTGTGCCATTACACCTTATGTAAGCCGTGACAATGGACTAACACACAACTAAGCACTCAGGATTTTCGTGCCCCCCCCCCCATGGTCAGTTGACCTTTGGGGTGCACTTTTATACACAGTTATAAACAAGTTACACATCACTTGTGACGTATCAGGTTGACACCCTCTGTTGCCTTTACCACCCCTTACTCACACCAGAGGGGTTTCCATTACTATCCATCATGCTGTCAATTTCAACCCGCTCCTGAACCTAAGTTGGTATGTATGTTATTTGTGGGATGTGTGTTGGAACTAAGATGTTTCTTAACGAGGTGTTCTGTTGTGACCCCTCTGGAATGTGCGCACAGCCTGCGCCTAGTACCGCTTAGGTCTGAGTGTTTCTGTAGTATCAGCCCTGTTTTTGCCAATTTCTATGAGGAGGGCCTGCCTCGCTCTCACAGCTTAACTTTGCTTTATATTAGCAAAATCTTGACCATTGCTGTCTATGCCTCACGCCTCATACCTGGCCTGTGATATCTGGGCTTATGTTTCACACCCTCATCTTACTACACATGACATAGTGAGTTTTTGTTAAACTGCATCATTAATTATTCTATTCCTTGCTCCTGGTTCTGCCAAAACATTTTTTTGGTTATGAGTTGTTTATATATGTAAAACATGGAACTCCAGAGAAGAAAAACAAGAAAAAAAAAATCAGATCTGTAGTAAGTAGCAAAACCAAGTGATAGATGGAGCCCTTTAAAAAGGAAAAAACTCTCTTGCGGGCTTTTCTGTTTTGCATTTAGACATTATCACAATGATTGGGCAATTTATAAAAACCTACACAGAACTCTCCAACTTGCACCAGAAAGCTAGATGCAAACATAGGAGGAAAAAGTCTTCTAATGTGACTTTCTAAATTTCATAATAGTTGATATACAGGGTCTCAAATAAATTTAGACATTGCCCTTGAAGAAGGAAGAAATAAGAAGGCTCTGCACTTTCTAGTGGGTATGAATTGAATGGTGAGTGACATTAGCTTTTTGGCACTTTGGTGACAAACTTGAGTAATATTTAGCAGTTCAGTGAACTCACAAATGGATACAAATCAACATTTTTCTTCTCTGCAGTAAGGCTGCCAACTGTTTAATCACATAAACCCAAACACCCTTGTTCTGTCCCCTGCCTCACCCCTTCTTCAAGGCCACCACACTCTTACTCTATCCCCCTCCCTCTGTCACTGTCCCACACCCTAACTCACTTTTACTGGGCTAGGGCAGGGCTCTGTTGTGCAGCAGGGCATACTTGAGCCAGAGAGTATGTAGTGTGGGAGGGGGCTCTGGGCTGAGCCTGGAGTAGTGGGTTGGGTTGCAAGAGGGGATACAAGTTGCAAGTTTTGGAGGGAGTTTAGGTGCTGGCAGGGCTGTCCTTAGGATTTATGGTGCCCTAGGCAGGATTATTAAACTGGTGCCCCTATGCCTGACTTGCTCTTAGCAACACAATCAGAAGCTAACAGTATTGGTGCCCCAGAAATACTGGTGCCCTAGGCAACTGCCTATTCTGCCTATGGCTAAGGACGGCCACGGGTGATAGAAGGAGTTCAGGGCTGGGGCAGGTGCTTTGAGTGCACAAGGGGGTGAGGAATGCGGGCTCTGAGAAGGAGTTTGGATGGAGCTCTGAGCTAAGCCTGGGGACATGCATAGGGATGCGGGAATAAGTGCGAGGTGCAGGTTTTGGGAGGCAGTCTGAGTACAGCAGGAGACTCAGGGATGAGACAGGGGGATGGGTGTAGGAGGAGGTGAGAGGTGCATGCTCTGGCCAGGCAACGCTTGCCTGGAGGGCTCCTGGTTCGCAGAGCAGCCAGGCTGGGGCAGACTCTCTGCCTGCCCCTCCTGGGAGCAGATAGCATGTTCCTGCAGTTCCTAGCCATTTGGAGCTAGGGATGTTAAGGACTAGTTAACTACCCGATGAGCAAATACTTATTGGATAGTCGATTAGTCACTCCCCCCTTTGCTGCCTCTATCACACAGAGGCAGCAAGGGGGGGGGGGGAAGCAGGGAGGTA